AAAGCAAATTTATTGAGGAAAACACAACATTACAACAGAAGATTAATGTGATTGAATCAGAACAGGATAAATTGAATGCAACCATTGAATCATTAAATAAAGAAATCCAAGAATATAAGGATAAGGTGCATCTTTTAGAGACACAAGGACAAGGACCTGCCATAGTTCAATTACAGTAAATATCTTAATAGAGGTTATATTTTGGTGTTTTGCGTCTGGGATCTGACACTTCATTTTTACAATAACCTTTCTTTATAGGCGTGACCTCGATACACTCAAGAAAGAACATGAAGAGTTACAAAAGTACAGTGAATCATACAAAGATTTAGCAGAATCAAGAGGAAAGTCTTTAGAAGAAAACGAAGGATTATACCTTGAATTGAAGACCGCTGCGGATCAAGAAATAAATGAGAAGAATGTACGTTATTATTTTGTTTATTATGATTTATTATGATTTATTGCTTGCTTATTGTAGGAATTGAACTTAATATTGGATTTTTAGGTCACGATAGCAGCGCTTCAAGAGGAACTACAAAAAATTAAGGATGAACTCACATCGAAGGAAGACAATCTTAATAAACAACTAAAGGAACTTTCTGATGCCCTTGATCAGTTAAGTATTTCACAACAACAATTAAACGAACTTATGTCAAGCTCGGCTGCCAGAGACCAGCAGCATAGTGAAGAGACGAAGAGACGAGAAATTTTGTTGGAAGAATCACAGCAAAATTATAATAGAGAGCTTGCAGCTCATGCAGCTGCTGTAAAATCTTTGAATGACTTACAGCTTCAGCATAAAGAATTGCAGGAAGAATTTGATCAATTGAAGGTAATAACATTGGAATTTGTTGCTTTGTAGCCTTAGTTTATTCATTTCTAACTATATAAACCTGTTTTAATCTAATAGGAAATATCCAAACAAGCAGAATCCTCGTGGAATAATGTAAGAACACGATTGGAAAAAGAATTAGCAGACTCTCAACAAACGTAATAATTTCTTATTTTATATTGTAATATTTTTGGAAATTACGTAACAATTTTCTTACTTAATCTATTATATTTAGGTGCAATGATCTTGGAAACGACAACAAAGTTCTTCGTAATTATTTCAATAATATGACCACAGATAAGGCTTCTCAGTATCACGTGATATCTCTGTTGCGAAGTGATCAACAGAAGGTAGAAGCAGAAAAAGAATATTACGCAAAACAGTCCGAGCGGTATAAGGCACAATTAGAACAAACCCAAAAGAATTATGATGAAACACAAGCATTACTCCTTAAGGTTTTATTCGGTTTCCTTTTAATTCTAAATTCAATTTTATTGGACTTCTGATTTTTAAACACGTTTTGAATATAGGAACGAGCGGAAAAGTCTTCTCCTGATAAGCAACTTCGAAATGAACTTCTAGAGGCGCAAAAATTATCAAAAATTCTAGATGAAAGTAATCAGACCTTACGAAACGAAAAGGAAAATTTAGATAAGAAGATGTCAGAGTTGGAGTCTTCATTAAAAGAATCTGAAGAGAAAAATAGTTCTCTTGAAGGTTAGTATTGTATTATTTAACACCTTGCATTCTACCGTAAACCAATTCCAATTCCCCTAATTTAAGCTGTGCAGTTAAATTTTATATTAAAATTATTATCATTTCATTTAAAATTAAGCTGAAATCCGAAACTTGAGGGTTGACGTTAGCACTTCTAAACAAGAAATAACCCTTCTTAAAGACGACAACAATAAATGGAAGGATAGGTTCCAAACCGTGCTTAAGAAATATGGAGTATGCATTTTATCAATGGCGTTTTTTTGTTTAAAATATTTTGATAAGTCATCACGTGTATGGTTATTAATTGATTAATCCTTATTAAATCTTACAGATCAATGATCCTACCGAGCTACAACAATTACAGGAAAATTTAAAATCTATTACAGAAAATCTAAAAACTACTTCAGAAGATCGTGACAAATTAAAGACAGAAGTCGAATCACTGACACAAGACCTTAATAAAGCAAAAAGTGCATACGAAAATACTATCAAGACTACTAAGGCTCAGGTATTTTGAATGAACCTATTTTTGTGTTTCATTAAATATTTAAGTATTAATTAGGATGTGATGTTTGCTTTTACGATTCTTTATATATAGTACGAAAACTTGAAAGCACAAGCAATAAAGCTCAAAAATGAAAAGGATGGTATCAAGACAAAGGCCGAACAATTAGAGAAAGAAAGTGTACAGTTGAAACAGGAGAATACGAATTCGAAGCAGGAAATTACAAAACTAAAGGAGTTAAATAAAAAAATCCACATGCATATGCAGGGTATACAACGAAGAGCTGGAGAATTAAAGAAGGAAAATGAAGAAACGAAAAAACAAATCGAAGAGTTGAAAAGCCAAGCCGAAGAGTTTAAGAAACAAACCGATGAAAAGACTAAGCAATTTGAAGAAGATCGTGCAGAATGCTTGAGAGTAAAGGCCCAAGAGTCTCTTTATACGAGTAGGTTGAAAAGAATGGAGGCCGAAAATTCTGATTTGAAACAAAAAGTTCAATCTTTATCTGAAAGTTCTTCAAAAGCAGAAAGTGCTAATCAACCAACAGCCGAAACTACCACAAAAGACACGGTAGCATTGGCAGAAGATTTTTTGCAATCGTTAACAGCATTGCCTATAGCACCTACTTCACCTTCAATGTCAGTGACTCCCAATCTACCTGCAACTCCAACTGCTCTAATAAAATTAGATTTAAACACAGCAAATGCTTCACCCAAAAGCCCTCTCCAAGCTACGCAAGAATTACCTATCGATAAACAGGACGATGTTTCACAATCACCAAGTGTTTCACCAAGTGTTCAACCAGCCAATATTCAATCAAACAATGTTCAACCCGTCACTACTAGCGGTGTTGATAGTCCGAATACAACTACTTCGGTATTGGTTAAACCTTCTGGTAATAATAATAATACTGGTCAGATGCAAAATGTACCAAGGGAAAAACCTCCTGTTAAAATTCAAAGACATCGTGGACCGACGGTTCTTCCAGGTTCGCCCCGTGTAGACCCGGTTCAAATAGCATCTCCTACACCTACTACCGAGGAACAATCATCAACCCAGCCACAAACTGTGCCGGATACAGAAAAAGTTGCTCAAACATCCGAAATACCGGAAACAGATGTAGCTGTTCAACCAGTAGTTCAACAAGCATCAACCGAAATAGTTTCACTTCGGCCTGCCGAATCCGAACCACAAACTTCAGAAGTGGCAGAAGAAGCTTCTTCTACTGAAACTTTGACTGGACATAAGCGTTCTCGGAACGAGGTTGAAGAAGAACAGCTTTGTAAGTCATTATTGAAACATCGTAACTTTATGTAGAATTTATTCGATTATAAATCTAACTATTTAACTTTTACATCAGCTACTACAGCTACGCAAGCCGAAGACGTTAATACTACAACAATTCCCTCAAACGTTGCAGACGAAGGAAATGAGGGAGAGAATGTTAATACCGTTATTCCAGTTATAATTGAAGATGTTGATGAAAATCCTGCAACGAAAAAGATGAAACTTGAAGAATAACTAATTAGAAGTTTTTGATTTTATAATTTTGTTAATTTTGTTAATTTTTAATAAAAGGATTTAGATTATGTATATCATCATATCATGTGTAAAATAATTAAATAAATGACTAACTATTTTCGGTTAAACTTCCAAAACTCGATGTTACACGGATAAATCTTTAACCTTTGATCTATAAAAAATTTTCAGTTAATTATATACTACTTTTTGATAATATTTTTTTTAACAGTTGAGAATGTTTAGGAATTTTGGTATTTTTCACCATGCTAGTAAGGTACACGTACTTTTTCAGCATTCTGTAGAAAAATTCAGTGAAAGGTGGTGGTTAAATTTTTTATTTTTTTTTTTAGAATATACAAAGAAAGTTAGTTTTAACAGGAATAGGAGGAGCTATCCTTACAGAAATTATATTATTAAATAATAATAAAGGTTTCCCGGTAATTTATGCAGAGGAGACCTCTGCTAAAAAGGTAGGCTACATAATTATTTTTCACGTGTGAATCTTTAATTTAAATACTAATTTTTTTTTTTATTATTATTATTAAGTTATGTATTTATGATGAACCTAAACCTGACGTTGTTTTAGTAGAGTCACCTACAAGGTTAGAAGAAGGAATTAAACAAGCCCGAATTCACGTCGCGAAAGCTGCTTGTGATTTTGAAGTAAATGAAAATTAATTTTTTTCTTTTTAAAATAATAATAATAATAATAATAATAAATGGATAAATTGTTTATTAATTTCATTATATGTTAATTTCAAAAGCGACAATTTCATGGAGTGATCAATAAATGGATCACCATTGAACAAAATACTGAAAGTAAATGTTTGTTTGTTTGTTTTTGTTCTTGTTTAAATAAGAAAAAAAATCTGTTTTTAAAAGAAAATATTTTATTTTAGAAACCATTAAGGAGGTAATCGCACCAAATGAGCGATTAATGCCAGAAGCATTATACGTAACAATAGCAGGGTTAGCAGGCACAATCATAGCAAGAAATCGTAAGAAATTTTTTTACCTCAGCTTTAAGTTATATAAAATTATTTTTATTTAATGTGTGTATATATTTTTTAGGTAACATTTTACTACGAATTGCAACTCCAATAGTTTTTACCATTGCTTCATCATATTACTTTTTACCACAAACGTCGCAAAACATTTCAAAAAAATTTCAAGAAAACCAACAAAAATATCCACAATTATTAAAAGTTCATCGTTCTATCTCTGATATAGCTAGTGATGCTAAACAAAAAGTTGATACATCTATTTCCGATTTAAAAAATATTGTAGGAGGTGATGATAACGATAAATCCAAATAAAAGAAAAGGGGATATATTATGAAGAATACTATTATTTATTTATTTTTTTTTTTTTTGCTCCATAATTTACCAATTGCAAAATGTTTCTGGTAAGATTGGAATCTTGATCCTCTTAATCTACCTTTTTATCATCATCATCCTTGGATTCCTCGAATTTTTCCTCATCATCTACATCTTCAACTGTAGTACGAAGATCTTTATTAACATTTTGACTTCCACTAGCTACTTCATCGTCTTCAGTGATCTTTACTTTTTTCTTTGGTACCTCCCAAGCCCAAAGTGGAATAAAGCTATCTACAAATCCCACATCCTCGAATAATTTGGGGAATAACCATATTCCAGGAGGAATTACAATCATGGTCATAATATATAAGATTAATCTTACAACTGCTATGACCATAAATACTCCAAAAAGACTCAAAATGGCCACAGAAAGGTACCAAACAGAATCTCTTAATATAGAAGGCCAAAGAGGAAATAATACAGCCGCAAATACAACGGATATCAATCCAATTCCTCCCAATATTGTCATTAATTGTGATCCTTCATAGAACCATGCATAATATTGATCCTCAGCCCACGATTGATAAGACGTTATTTCTAATTTTTTACGCGATCCACTCTCACTACGTTCGACACGCAAGAAAAAGGCGTGAGCTAACACCTCTTGTAGGACTTCACGAGCTTCGTTTTCACTGGTAACTTTTGGAACCTCTTTAAGTTTACCGTAGGATTCTTTAAGAAGTGCCTTCAATGCAGATTTACCTAATTAAGTTTATCAAATCGAGAATTTATTTAATTCCTAAAAAAAAAGGGTGGTCATAATCGAAATGCGAATACCTTTAAAATAAACCACTCTTTTTCCATTTAAGATTCCTTGTCGATTTTTTAAATCAGAGCTAGATCTCAAGAATTTGGCAACATTCAAGATGTTTTTGGGGGCTTCTTTCTGTTGTGTTTCCATGAAATTATATAAATTTTAGTTATTAAAGGAAAGGATAAAAACGAAACTGTAGACTTTTTTTTTTTTTTTTTTTTTACTTTATTATTTTATAATTTGTATAATTTGTAAACCAATTGGATATAGCCACATTCTTAATATGTAATTTCCAAATTTATCAAAGATTTTCACCCGGGAAAATTTTATTTGATCTCATGTTTGTGTAATTTATGAATTTACGCAGTTGAAAATTTAACTAAAAAAATTATATCCTAAGATAATAACATTCGACAATGTACCGTTAAATCTATCAAAACTCTCTTAAATAATAAAGAAATTTGCTACTCTACTTCAATTCCTATAATTCATCCTGAATTTAGAAGGTTAAAAGAGAAAATTAGATCATTATTATAAAATAAATAAATAAATAAATTAATCCTAAATGCTTTTGTTGATCAGACAAGGCTGAAACTATGAATCTCAACACGATTGAATTTTATTCAGAGTGTAGGATAAGATTTATATCATCATACAAAAGTCATTTTTTTCAAGCAAGCTAAAAAATAGATAAATAAATAAGATAAAAACGCTTACCATTTCTATTATCATATCCAATGACAGTATAACCTTATCATGTATTTGTATTTCACTTGATTACTTTTAACACCTCTCTCCAAACAAACACTATGTTAACTTTGCTGTATTATTTCTCTCGAAATCTAAAGTTCGAGATTTAGATTCATCAAAAAAAAAAAAAAAAAAAAAAATTTCTTGTATGTAAATTTATAGTGATTATGATTGGACGAAAGTATAAATAGACGGATCAACATAAATTAGGTAAGAAATTTTTATAACGGTTGATAAAAATAGATTTATTATAATAATAAATTAAACTTGATTGCATTTTTTATAATACTCTTTTTTTTTTGTTATTGTAATTAAATATGTGACAGTTAAATTTTTCTAACATTTAATATTTTTCTTTATTAAATAATATTTAAAGCAAGCAATATATTCATTTTTGAATTATTATATTATTATGAATATTTAATCATTTGATTAGTATTTGGAGCATGTTACAACAAAACCAAACAAAGTGAACATTAATATTACCAAGAATTTTAGAAATCAAAATTTGTAATGTGATTATTAAAATTTTTCATTTGTTTGTTATCTTTGTTTTTCCTTAATATTAAGTGATATATAAAACTATTCCTATACAAAAATAGTTAATATTAAATTAATTTACATTAGGTCTACCATAGAACCCAAAAATTACAGTACTATTAGAAGTATTTTAAAAAAAGAACAAGATGAGAAAATTGCTCATTATATTTTAAAATAAATGATACTCAGACACTGAAAGCTTATCTAAGAAAAGAAAGGATTACTTATGAAATTTACTAAGAAGAAAGAAAATTAATAAATATTAAAAAAAGAAAGCATTATAATGATGTATTATTATTCAATAAAAAGCTAAGATTTCTAGAAGGAAAATAATAGAAACAAATTTATTATCTATTTTATCTTTTTCTTTTTAGCATTTTCTCAATGAATAACTAGATTTTTAAAACCAATACTAATGTTTCATTCTAACCATAATTTAAAGAGTTTTCTTATGATTAAATACTGATTTTTTTTTTTTTGTAAAACTATTTGTAAACAGTTTATATAAATAAAAAATCATGACCAAAAAGAATGTTTTAATTGTAAAATACTAAAAAAGGTTTAACTATTAATTGATGAAATGAAGAGAAAAAAGAATATTTTGAATTTTGTTATTGAAATTATTTTCAAAATTTAATTTAAAAAAAATTAGATAAAAAAACTGTGGATTGAAAAAAAAAATAAAAAGAAAATCTTTAGAGAAACCTTACATAAGGTTAAAAATAAAGAAAATTTTGATTGACCTTTTAAGGTAAGAAACATTCACTAAAAAGGTAATGGGAGATGAAACAGGATTACTATTTGGTATTCTCAATGCAAAATTATGTTAGATTGAGATATCATCACTTATAAAGACAGTCAAGAATATAATGTTTTCAATATTGAAATTGTCACAAAAATATTGAAAGAGGTAAACAAAATGATCACTTTATTTAAAAAAATGATAATACTTTAAGTTATATTTATTTCAAAAGTGCTAAAGAAAGTGAAATAATTTATCATATATGTGACAAAATGGAATTGAGTAAAAAAAAAAGTTTAAATCTCAAGTCTCTGATTTAAAGAATAGTATAAGTGTTAAGGTGATTTTGAGGTAAAATTCTAAAGGTCATATAGCATTATGTATCAAATATCATGCTAATACTTTTGAAGAAATAACTAGGCAAGAATGATCAGATATTCTGCTCATGCTTAGGAATATTGTAAAAGTTGACAAGGTTTATAATCTAGCAGGCTACAGAGTTAGTATACCAATATCACCTATTGGCACTCAAAATTTACTCTATTTTTATATGTGAGTGGTTTCTAAATATAAGAAGAATTATAGAAGTTTAGAAATTAAAAGTGTATTAGAAAAAAGTTTTGTCTCAAAAGTAGCTAAAGATGCAAAAAAACTTTTTCAAGTAATAAATGATAATATTATTATTGCAGAAAAAAGTAAAATTATTGCCAAATTACACATTGAAATAGGAAATATAATCATTTCTACTAAAAATCATTTACCTAATAATATTAACACTGTGAATTAAGAAACCTGAGATCAAATCAGAGAAGTCTGCCAAGAACTTATATAAAAAATGAAATCTGCATCATTCATTAGTAGTTTTACTATCAAATGCGAACTTAATGAAAAAGTTATACAATTATGAAGAGAAGAAGCAGAAATACCTTCAAATTATAGCCAAACTTATTCTGCTTCTAAATTTATAATACTACTTTTTCCTAGGTTCACATTACAAAAATGATGAAGACAATTTAGACCAAAAAAAAAACAATCAATTTCTAGATACTATGGAAAATGAAAGAATAGCTAAAAAATAAGAGATCCAGAGACTTACTATCAAAAATAAAATAAAACTCCTTAGACTCAATTAGAAAGCTAACTTAACAAAAATAAGAGAGAAAAGGTTTATTGAATAACTGGCTATGGAGTACATTTGTTTCTTTTAATTATTCTAGTTATTAAATTAGTTAGAATTAAGAGAAATAAGAGTTAATTTTGTAAATTTTTTTATTTAATTAAAAATTATTCAATTACATTGGTACTGATTTGAGACAATTAATATCTTTAAATTCATCTCTAACAAATGTGCAAATATTATTATAAAGGTATTTTTGTCTTTTATAGTCTAAAGAAGAAAATGTTAATACTAAAATAAATAAAACTTTAATCTCTTCAAAAATATCTGCTTTTTTGATTTTCAATAAATTGAATTCAACAAAAGATCTATTAACAGTTTTTTGAGTTTTGATCACACTAAGGTTAGATACTTTAAAAAAAAATGTTAATACTTCTGTATACTTGATAATTTTTGAAATAAATTTTCAAAATAGCTTTAATATCTAAGTATTGAAAACCTTTCCTACCTTCATAACACTGGGCTTTATTTAATCTTACTAGACTAAACTTTTTTACTACTTCAACTACATAGTCTAAATAATCTACTCTGATTCTTCTATAGAGTTTTTTGATCATGTCAAAACTACCATCACATTTGAATTTGATATGCTCTAGTATCATGAAATATTTTTATAATAATTACAAATTACTAAATATAAATAAAATTAAATAGTAATATTATTTTTATTCTATCTACCAGCATTATTACAAGTAATTTTTAAATGCTTTTCATCTTTATTCAATTACTTAATTCCATCAAAAATCATACTAAGAGTTTCATTAGGTCCTTTTCCTATAATTTTATTTTTATCAAATACATAATTAATTTGTTCCCTTACTGCTTTATCTTGAATATCAAATAAATAAACTTTACATAAACTAAGATTATAAATTTTACTTATTTGTTGATCAGAATGTGAAATATGAATATTTTGAGCTTAATTATAACTATAATAAGCAGTGGTATCAATATTACAATACTGTATTTTATCCTTTGAATAATTTTGATTAACTGTTTTCTTTGTTCTTCTGTTAATTTGATATTTTTATTATAATAATTTCTTTCTAATCTTGTCTTAAACAAATGTTCTTTAAATTTTTTGAGTAATTTTTTAGCTTCTTTTTCTTAGCGAGTATTGTAATGTAAACCATTTTGAAAATGTTAGCAAGTATCACATAAGTCAGTTCTGGAACTTATAATTTGAATCTCTAGTATCAATTGATATCATAATTTTCTGAAAACATTATATTTTAAGAATTTCAATTTGCTATCTTCTTCTAGACCTGCCAAAAAATCTCTGTAAACTGATTTATAACTCATTTCAACTAGTAAAAATACAATTGATTGAGTTATTTTATTGATACTTCTTTCTGGACTTAGCAAACCATAAACTTCAGCATAATTTTTTAGAAAATTCTTTACTACTTTTGCAATATCTTTATCAATCACCATTTTAGTTTTCCATTAAGGTATTCTTTTAATATTACTATGAATTCTTAGTAAATGACCATTTTTTATCAAATGTTTTCTAATGTTTTCAAAATAAGTTTTATAAATTCCCAACATATTAAAATAAGTTTCTTAACAAAGAAATATATTGTGATCCCAGTGATAGAAAGTTCTTTTATTAAATTTATTAAATCTAGTTTTCTTTTTAAGGCATCTACTAGTGCTTGTTAATCCACCATCCATTGCCTTAAGTTAGACCATTAAAAATATATCTTATTCTAATTTAGAAAAAGCTTGAAAAGATTCTCTTAATTCTGCAAATTGTTCTTTAAGAATTCTTGAAGAATAACCACAATTATATCCTTTTTTTAAAAAATCAATTGCTTTTTTGATATTTATTAAAACTGTTATATTTACTATTACTTTTCATATACACTTATCCCTATATATATAATTTTATAATTTTACGTTTACTCTATATTATTTTTATATTTACAGCTAATTTCA